GACCTATTCACAGAAAACTATAGGACATTGAAAAAAGAAATAGAGGAAGATACAAAAAAGTGGAAGCACATACTTTGTTCATGGATAGGAAGAATTAACATCATTAAAATGTCCATAATACCCAAAGCAATCTATAGATTCAATGCAATCCCCATCAAAATACCAACTACATATGTCACAGAACTAGAAAAAATACTTCAAAAGTTCATATAGAACCAAAAAAGACCCTGAATAGAAACAGCAATCTTGAAAAAGAAGAACAAAGTAGAAGGGATCACATTACCAGATTTCAGGATATACTACAAAGTCACTGTAATCAAAACAGCCTGGTACTGGCACAAGAACAGGCATATAGACCAGTGGAACAGAATAGAGAACCCAGAAATGGACCCAAGACAATATGCTCAATCAATATTTGACAAAGGTGGCAAGAGCATACAGTGGAGTAAAGACAGCCTCTTCAATAAATGGTGTTGGGAAAATTGGACAGCTACATGCAAAAAAATGAAACTAGACCATCAACTTACACCATACACAAGAATAAACTCAAAATGGATAAAAGACATAAATGTGACCCATGAATCCATAAAAATCCTAGAAGAAAATGTAGGCAACAAAATTTCAGACATCATACACAACAGAATTTTCACTGATACATCACCTAAGGCAACAGAAACAAAGGAGAAAATGAACACACGGGCCTACATCAAACTCAAAAGTTTCTGCACAGCAAAAGAAACAACCACCAAAATGAAAAGGCACCCCACTTTATAGGAGAGCATCATTGCCAATGATACATCAGATAAGGGGTTAATTTCCAAAATATATAGAGTACTCATACAACTCAACAAAGGGAAGACAAAGAACCCAATCAAAAAATGGGCAGAGGAGCTGAATAGACACCTCTCCAAACAGGACATACAAATGGCCAAAAGACATATGAAGAAATGCTCAACATCACTAATCATCAGAGAAATGCAAATTAAAACAACAATGAGGTATCACCTCACACCTGTCAGAATGGCCGCCATCAACAAATCATCAAACAAGTGTTGGCGAGGTTGTAGAGAAAAGGGGACTCTAGTATACTGCTGGTGGGAATGCAGGCTGGTGCAGCCACTATAGAAAACAATATGGTGTTACCTCAAAAAATTAAAAATTGAATTGTCATTTGACCCAGTAATCCCGCTTCTAGGAATATACCCTAAGAAGCCTGAAACACCAATCAGAAAGAATATATGTCCCCACATGTTTGTAGCAGCACTATTTACAATAGCTAAGATCTGGAAACAGCCCAAGTGTCCATCAGTAGACGATTGGATAAAATAGCAGTGGTACATATACACAATGGAGTACTATGCAGCTGTAAGAAGAAAGATCTCTTATTCTTTGATTCGACATGGAGGAACCTGGAAAGTATTATCCTCAGTGATACAAGCCAAATAGAGAAAGCCAAGTATCACGTGATCTCACTTATTTGTGGAATATAATGAACATAACAGTCTGAAGAACAGGGTAGTCCCAGAGACGTTGAAGTAGGGTACAGACCGACAATCCCCTGAAGAGGGGTTGGGGTGGAGGAAAGAGATAAACGACAGAACTTATATGTATGTATACATAACCAATGGACATGGACAACAAAGCTGGGGACAGGGTGGGGAGGGCGGGGGAGGAGGGTGTCAATGAGGAAAAAAGGAGAAACATCTGTAACAAAAATAAATTAATTAATAAAAAAAAAGAATTGTTTCTATTTTTTGGCTATTATAAATAAAAATGCTGCCATGAATATTCATTTATAGGTATGTGTGTGAATATATATATATATATATATATATTTTTTTTTTTTTTCTCTTGTGTAAATTCCTAGGAGTAGATTTGTTGGGTGATATTGTAAATGTATGTTTAACTAAAAGAACATGAACATCTTTTTTCCAAAGTGGTTGTACTGTTGTACATTCCCACCACATATGAGAGTCATAGTTCATAGCAGCTTTATTCAAATCAACAATAATTGGAAAAAAAACCAAATGTTCACTGTCAGAGAATGAATAAATTGTGGTATATTCATTCAAACGAATACCACAAATAATTATCTACAGCAACATGATTAAAACATATTAAGCAAAAAAAGCAAGTCATAGGTGAATACATTCGGTATATTCCATATATATGTATACAGTTTTAAAATATGCTAAATAAAGCAATGCTATTTAGGAATATATACACTTTGGAAATACTCTAAGATAAAGCAAAGGGGTGATACACACAAAACTCATGATAGCGAATTTTGAGAAAGAAGGAGTGTGCAGGGATGGGAAGGGTAGGGTGCTTCAGAGATATTGGTAATATCCTTTTTCTTAATGTGTGATAGACACATGGTGTTTGGTTTATAATTATTTAACTGGCACAATACATGTTATATATGCTTATGTATTATGTGTATATAATAAAAGTAAAAAAAGAAAGTAAAGATTGTTCATGTTTCTTTGCTTTTCTTTAAAAAGAAAAAAAATAACTGACTTGGACATTTGTCCTATACTCAGTAATACGTTTTTCTAGTTCTTTACTATTCTCTATACTTTGAGAGATTGCAGTCTTAGTAGTGGGGTAATTCTGGAATGCATTTCTATCTCTGGGAGTGAGAATTTAGATGTCTGATTCCCAGTAGTATTAATAGCAGTAGTTAAATTCATAAATCATATTTATGGAGATGAGATCATAGTCCATCTGATAACAAAAATGATTGAGTAGAATAAATTTCTTTATTAAAATTATACCAGGGAAGGATATGTCCCGTACTTATTTTCCAATTGAAGTATTTTAAACTAAGGTTTTAAAACCATCATAAAATGACCTCATAGCCAAATGTAAAGGATATATCATCAATTCTAAAAAGCCTAGTTGATCACTTATTGGATAAGACTGCAATATTGACAGTAAAATTTCTCTATCTTCCTTCTAGGTCATAGCATAATAATATAAATTCAAAAAGTTGAACATTTTATAAGATGAAAAATTCCAGTGAGGAAAATGGAAAGATGACAAGAAATAAGTTTTTCATGTATTTTAGCAATATAAAAAGAGCTACCGTTCCATCAGATAGTGCATTTCTATCTCCCTCCTGGGACATTGCTATTGAAGACAATGTTTTTAAAATTAGTTACTATTTGGTTACAACTTTGTGTATAGGTATATTATAAAATCATGTGTTTGAATAATATAGCCCCCCAAAAAACTGTATAGCAACTCAAGTATGAAATGTATTTGTAGCTAGAAATCACATGTGAATTATTATAGAAGCAATTTCAAATGCAGAGTGTAATGAGCCTTTAATTTATTAAATCGTAAAAATATTATCAGTAATAAAACACTTAAGGAATTAGCATTAAAGTACAAATTCCACAAGTAAAAAAAATTAATGTCAATAGAGAGCTTGGTTTTTCTTTTAAGTTAGAACCAAGATGTATGACTAGAAGTGATCATTCTAAAAAATGGAGTAATTTTCTATTATGCTCCACATTATGTAGAAAAATTTTAAAATATAGTGTTTTGTCCTATATGATTACATGAGAAATGGTAAAGAAAGACATATAAAGGTGGAACTGAGCACGTTACTTATTTCTAGCAAATGAGCGTCAGACAGGAATATCTGAAAGAAAGTTTCCTTATTCCTTAGTTGATCACTACTGCTAATTAGGGATTCCCAATTTTTATATAGTGAGCTTTAATTACTTGTGTGAATTAAATCATAGACAATCCTATCCTAAATGAAGAAGGAATATTTAATTTTTACTTTGGAATATGGGTTTGCATTTTAAATAATACACATTTATACATATTTCAAAAGTGTTTTCATATGTATTATACCATTTGACGCTACGATAACCCCATGAGGTTAACAGAATCTAAAGTTATGATCTCTATTTTACTGATGAGAAAATGAGACTCATGGAGATTGAACCGTTCAAGAGTCTTGGCTAATGACAAATATAGCACTAGACTCTTTGTCTTTTGTTTTGAACTGAATGTTTTTTCTGTTCATATCACCATTTCCATATCTGATGTTTCTCTTCAGACAAAAATACAAATTATGTCATCCTGTTAAGTTTCATATTTGGAGTTCAGGTTGGTTGAATAATGGCCACCCAAACATGTTAGGTGCTAATCCTTAGAGCCTATAAATGCTGCCTTATAAGGAAAAGGGGTCTCTACAGATGTGATTAAGTTAAGGATCTTGAGATGGGGAGATTATCCGAGTGAACCTTAATCCAATCCCAAGTGTCCTTATATGAGAGGCACATGGAGATTTGACCCAGACAGGAGAATAGAAGATAGAGACACAGGGGAGAAGGCAATGGTACCACATAGGCTGAGTTTGGAGTGATACAGCCACAAGCCAAGGAATGCCAGCAGCCACCAAAGCTGGAAGAGAGGCAAGGAACAGATCTTCCCTAGGACTTTAAGGGGAGTGTTGTCTTGCAGACACCTAGATTTTAGACCAGTAAAACTGGTATCGAACTTCTTTCTGGCTTGCAGAACTGTAAGAGAAGGAATTTCTTGTTTTGAACCACCAAGGTTATAGTAACTTGTTACACAGCCCTTGGAAACTAATAGAGACTGTTCATGTTTTCCATTTCCTATTCAACTTCATGCAATTGACTTGAACCTCTAGTGTAGGACAGATGAATTCGGAGGGACCTAAGGTTTGTGCATTAAAACTTTTCCAGAAGAGAGTGGTTTAAATGCTAAGATTTCCAAGCACTTCTCTATAAGGACTATTGACTGAAAATTAATACAGAATGTTGATAACTTAAAAAATATATATTTAAATGGAGTAGCTATTGTTAATTCATGCAAATACAAAGTCTTGTCTGATGATAAGCTAAAATGTACTGAAGCCGCCTAAGAAAAACTGCAGCTTTTATTTTATATTTATTTGAATGCTTAAAATTAAAAATTTCACAATAAAGAAAGTTGTTTTTGTTTTTTCCCCTTTATAGGAAACATGTTGGATCTATCATGTCTGGCAACGTGTTTACAACCTAATCTCACCTATTCACGCTCCTCCTTAAATTTTTCTTTTGTGACTTTTCTGCAACCAGTAAGGAAAACTCAGACCATGATAGCTTTTTTCCTAAATCACTCTAACTTTCAAAACATCACCAGGATGTGTCAAGATATCACAAGTGAATTTAAAATGTGCTCCTCGTGTTTGGTTTGTGAGTCTAAAGGAAACATGGATTTTATTTCTCAGGAACAAACATCAAAAGGTAAATGCAAAGAGAAAGTGAGAATAAAATTTATCAAGGATAAATGACTTTACTCTGTTAAAAAAAAAAAAAAAGGTATTAATAATATATTCCGATTTTAGGCCCATTGGCATTGGAGCGCTCCCTGGGGTGGCCCTTGATGAGTGACTTGAAGGGCTTTGAGATATTACTCTTTCTTGGTTTACTTTGATTTACAAAAAACAAAACATCTATTCTTAAAATTCACATGCATTTGATGGTTAAAGGATTATTTAACATGCTTTTTCAAAGGTATTGAATTTAAGAAAATGAATTTAATAATGTGAATTTTAAAAATCCTAAATAAACTTGTAGATTCTCATAGTAAAAAAAACCTCACACTTTAATTCTACAAGGAGTCATTGAATTCTTGATATATTTGTAACTATTCCTGCTTAACACCTATCCACTGTATATGAGTTGTCTTTTACTTTTCTAACTATTCAATGAGCATCTTGATGGCAAGGACTTTGTCTTTGTTCACTAGTGTATTTCTATATCTTAGCGTAATGTCTCACATTAGGCACTCAAGTGTTTATTTAATAAATACATGAACAAAAAAAGAATAACTATGTATTATCTGTAGGGTCTAATTGAACCTTAAATTTATTATGTGATCAATATATATTATTTAATTAAATTGTATTGATTTGGATCATTGAGAAATTAAATAATTCACTTATAGTCATAAAATATATTGGTTGCCTTAAACCTAAGCATAAAAAGTATTGCTTATACCAATATAGCAAGAGTGCTTCTTTTGCTCTATATTGGCATTTCCCCCCATTATTTAAAAATGGGAACAAGATTTCTTGGCACTGACTTTGGATGAAGTGCAATGGAGATGTCTTCTTCTGAGTTCTTTTTCAAGTAGTGCTATAACTATTGCAGGGTTCTGGGTCAAATCAGCAGAAAGCAAATTGGGGAAATACCTTGTGTATCAAGAGTTGGTAGCTCACAGGAGCTATTTCTCTGCCTCTTGGAAGAGTGAGAACAAGCATTGACAACTTCTCTCAGTTGCTATGGCTGGGAAACAAGTCATCCCAAAACTCAGTGGCTTAAAACAACAGCAATCATTTTATTATTCCTTTTCTTTTTTGTTGGGTCAGGGATTCAGAATGGGCATAACTGGGCATTTCTTGCTGGGAGCATTTCATACAGTGGAGTTACACAGTGACTGGAGCCAAAGCAGAGGGGCTGAGCCGCTAGAGGCAGGTGTGCCCTGCTCTCTCTTGAGGTTTTTCCTCCGAGGTTTTCTATGCGGTCTTTCCTCTGGGGCTGGTGTGGGCTTCCTCACAGCATGATGACCGTAAGTTGCCGAACTGTTGGATAGTGGTTCCAGGCCCCAGCATTATGTTCCAGGGAACAAGGGAGGTATTGCTTCACCTTTTCTGGCTTCGCCAAGCAGGCTCTCCTCCTCTGCATTTGATTAGTTACATTTGTCACAAACCCTCTCACCCAGATTCAAGGTGAAAGACATTAAACTCTCTATGTTGTTAGCGACAAAATTTTAGGTTCACGTGTGTGTTATGGGTTCAGTTATATTAAAGTCCTAAACCCCGGTGTCTCCGAATGTGATATTATTTGAAAAAAGGGTTGTTGCAGATGTAATTAGTTAAGATGAGGTCGATCTTGGGTGGGCCCTAACCCGATATGACTGGTGTCCTTATAGAAAGGGGACATGTGAACACAGACAAGCACACAGGGAGAGTGCCATGTAAAGATCAGGGCAGAGAGCGGGGCGATGCTTCTACAAGCCAATTGACAGCAAACCACCAGAAGCCTGGAGAGAGGCCTGGCACAGGTTACCCTTGGAGCCCTCAGAAAGAAGCAAGTCGGCCATCCCCTTCCTCTTGGAAGTCTAGCCTCAGAACTGTGAGACAGTACACGTCTGTTACTGCAGCCACCCAGGTTATGGTGCTTTGTGAGGGCAGCCCCAGCAAACTAGTGTGATGTGGCACGAGAAATATTGCAGTGACAATTTTTAAAAATAAAATCTGTTCCACAAGTTGTCAGGGAAATATTTGTGACTTCTTTGAGATGCTCTGATTCTATTTCAACCAGGTTTTCACCATCTTAAAATAAAATGTAAGCCCTTTAATCGTTATTTTTGGTGCAGGTAATTTTTTGTTCCTACTTTTTTTATATAGGGAAGAAGAGATTTAGTTTTGAGTTGTATTGTTTTCTTACTACGTATTACTACTTTGCGAATAACATTTTCCTAATCTTTTTCTAGTTCTTATCCTGAGAGGATCCACGGAAGCGACCGCAAATGATTTTCATTCACCTTGTCAACATTTTAATTTCACGGTAGCTCCTACAGTTGACCGCTTGGAGGAATATAACATTAGCTGTAATCTAAAAACAGACACTAGAAGTTCAGCAATCATGGAGGAAGATCCAACCAAGGAAAAGTCTATAAACTATACTTGTGGAATTATGAATTATCCAAATAATTGTATACACATTTCTTTGCACCTAGAAATGGATGTAAAAAGTAAGTTTAAAGGGAAATTAGAGGGAAAGGAGAAATTATATAGGAGCTCTGACATTAACTTCACTGAAAGTCAAATGGTTGAAGATTTTATTGAAATAATATGGCTGGGAAAATGTTAGCCCTTTTATCTGTTCCCCCCTCCCCCCACAAAATGTGCTCTTTTTGGGGCCCAACTGTACCTGGAGGCAGAAGAAGCATCTATGGGTTGTGATTTGAGGGTCACTAGAAAGACACTTTGCCCTAAAATAAATTTCGGACATGCATATTAGGCGTGCTTAAAGTAATACTACCACAGTTGAGTATGAAAGGTTGAGATTTATTTTGAAATGTAAAAGTCCATCTTCATTGTGATATGCTATTAACATCTTATTTTGAATTGATTTAATATGTCCTCTCTTAGAACTGAGAACCAAGCCTGCATTAAGTGGGATTTTATTTTATTTTTTTATCCTCACCTGAGGACATTTTTCCATTTTTTTGTTCAGGTAGAGTGGGAGGGAGAGAGAGGAACAGAGAGAAAGAAAGAAACATCGATGTGAAAGGGACACATCGAATGGCTGCCACCCACATGACCAACCAGGGGCCGGGGACAAACTGCAACCCAGGTACATGCCCTTAGCGGGAACCAAACCCGGGTCTCTCTGGACCGCAGGCCAACGCTCTAACCGCTGAGCCAAACCGGCCAGGGCTTAAGTGGGATTTTTGATGTAAAGCTGAGAAGATAGTCAAGGTGTAGATTAGGCACTTTGGGTGACTGGATGAGTTGGGGGGAGTGTAGGAGCCCAAAAGATGAAACTTACATATATCTTAGCTCTGTTTGAGGCTGATTAACTTCCTAGTCACCCTCTTCTGAATTACCACAATCGATCCTTTTACAAAGCAGTGTGCCCCACTTGAAGAGTATTTCATGATCTACCATTTAATGAGAGCCTGCCGTATGCCAAGCAGTGTTCCAGACATTGGGACACAGAGACAGATAATGTAAAGCAATCAAGCAAGTGCATTCAGTGCAACAGGTACCATGGCAGAGTAATTTATTGTGGTTTGGGATGTCCTAGGTGTATGGGAGCATTTCAGATGACTTCAGAATGTTTTTCTAAAGGTATAATTATTTTTGAGGCTACTATTTTAAAAAATCTTATGTTTATTTTAAAGCAAACACAAATATACAATATGTATGCATTTTTACAATAAAATGTATGACTTCAGAGAAATTTCTTCTGTGAATTAGTTTGCCCAGGGTCCTCCAGTCTCTGCTATTAGTGGTTATTTCAGGGTGTGTGGGGGGCATAGGAGAGGATATGAGAAAATCAACTTCCTCTGATTGAAGAATGAGGTTGGAAGGCAGGTTTTGGAAGGCTGCATGGGGAAGGTGACTATGATGAAATCTAAAAGATAAAGAGGTTTGGATTATAGGTACTAAAACATTTATTTCAATGTACATTTATGTAGCTATTTCATCACTTTTTATATTTTCTAAAATATAAAGGAAAAATAAGCATTTCTGTTATTATGATTTTAAGGATTTATTTTGGTGTTAATGGCAAAATTCCTAAATTCTAGTCAGAATGAAATGATAGTTGATTTTTTTTGTCCCTAATTCAGAAAGGTAACAGGGGTACATAAATAGTACTCTTGCATTCTGGAAAAATGATATCAATTTTGTCATGTGTAGAAGATTTAAAAAGTATTCATGTTTTACTCTGCTGTGAAGACTAATGTGGTCTTCTTTAAGAGCCGTATCTCAGGGAATAAAGCTAAATGTAGTTCAGTTTGGTAAATTTACTCTGAAACAATAATTTAAACCATCTCTTTAGATTTTTTCCAGATTCTTGTCTGTTTTTCCTTGGTTCTCTCCCAGATGGCTGCAGGGATGTGGGGAAGGTGCTCAACATGGGATGTGGGAGACACAGTCTTCTGTGTTCATACTGATGCGTTGGTGGGTGTTCTGGCTGGCTTAGCCCCAATTATGCACATTCCGCTCTTGCAATATAAAGTTGGTGAATGTATGGTTCTTTTCCTTATGGCTTGATCACTGCCCAGTGACACCTTGGTCGTTGGACCCACCTTGGCACTGCAAATCTTCTATTTCAGTTAATGGCATGCTTTTATCTTGACGAGTAAGAAATGCAGGTTTGGCTGTTGACTATCGTGCAGTGATAGTCATCACTGCTGCCATCACATTCAACTTTTACCTTTTCTCCATTCAGCCTCTCCTCTAAATAAATGTTGACTACTTATGTAATGTACATCTGCCCATGGAGGGCGTCCTGTGAAATGGATGCTTAGATCATGAACACTACAAGGGCAGTCATCCAAGGGTATACACAAGTCATGTATCTTGTCAAGTTGAATAAATACTAGCTGTGTTTTGTGTGCAAGAAAGAGGGTCCAGGGGATAGCTTAGAAAGTCAGTAGACAGTTGTGTCTTAGACATAATGAGGTCGCTTTCATTTAGGTCACTGATTCCTAGGTCGACTGGCCAATGTGTCTCTATGGGACCAAAGGAAACCATACTAAGCTATTGCTGGATAGTGACCATCCTTCCCGCGTGGCCTCACTGTCATTTGAATGACCAAGTTTTTACCTTCATTAAATTTAGGCTGGGATAAACTGCATGTTTAATTAATGCCCGCACTTGATTGATCATCGCTGTGAGAGCCCCTGTGGGAGGAGGTCTGATTACTCATCTGCACTGGCCTCTTTTATCTCCTCTGCCTCAGCCCAGCCCAGCCCTTTCTCTTTGTCTATCTTTCCCTTTCTTTCCCATCCTCCTTATACTCAATGCATCTTCCTTGATTTGAGCATATGATATTTGGCTGCTTGGCTATATTGTGGTCTTAACCTAGTGTTAGAAATGACAGTGAAACTAACACCAGCATAACCTGTAAGTGAAATTAACCCTAGGATTTTGGAACTAAATGGATCCCTGGAAGCCACCTGATTAAGGTTCCTCATTTAATACCCCCATTTAATACATTAGGGAAGAATTCAGGAGAGCAGGTGACCTATAAAGTGATGTTATATATTATTTAGCTTTTTAGTTAAGGGCAAAATATGTAGTAGAACCCAGCTGCACCACCACAAAGCATCTTATCTATTGCATAATTTCATTGTATTTTTATTGTATTTTTTTCTTTGCAGATTTCCTTTGTTCCATGAAGATCACTTGGTATGTTTTAGTAGCATTAGTTTTTACATTTTTGCTCATCCTCATCATCCACAAGATACTTGAAGTCCATAGGCAAGTGCGGAAGTGGCAGAGTAAGTATTGAGAAATAAATCCATCATTCGGGACACTCCATTTAGTTTCAAGGAACTCTTAATCTTATCTATAGATTCCATTTCTTGTTTTGTTTTGTTTTTGTTTTTTAGTTCAATTTACCATTTACTGAACACCTACTGTGTGTAAGTGGCGATTCTAGGAGTATAAGCCTAAGTAAGACACAATGCCAGCATTCAAGAAGCTTCATGTATCACTACCCAGACAAGTGAATGGGAGGGGAAGGAAGACTTGTGAATTGAAAGGAGAGGATAAACTGAATGCCAAGCAGGAGCTTAGTGAAAGTGAGGGCAGAAGAGAGGTAGAGAGATAGGGAGTGGTGATAAGAATTTTAGCTTTGGAGATCTTGAGCAGTCTGGCTTGAGGTGATGAGGAGGAATGGGATCCAAACTTTAAGGAATGTGAGGATGTCAGTAGATTTTTGGCTGGGCTGAGCTAAAATGTGGAACTGGGAATCAGGAGGTGATGAGGGGGAGTGGGATCCAAGCTTTAAGGAATGTGAGGGTGGCCCTGGCCGGTTTGGCTCAGCGGTTAGAGCGTCGGCCTGCGGTCCTGAGAGACCCGGGTTCGGTTCCCGCTAAGGGCGCGTACCTCAGTTGCAGTTTGTCCCCGGCCCTGGTCGGTTGTGCGGGTGGCAGCCACTCGATGTGTTCCTTTCACATTGATGTTTTTCTCTCTCTCTCTCTCTGTTCCTCTCTCTCCCTCCCACTCTACCTGAACAAAAAATGGAAAAATGTCCTCCGGTGAGGATTAAAAAAAAAAAAAAAGGATGTGAGGGTGTCAGTAGATTTTTGGCTGGGCTGAGCTAAAATGTGGAACTGGGAATCAGGACAATAGGGATGGTATTAAAAATATTTAATAACTAATACAATGCTCACCTGTCAGGAGGGACAGTGAATGTTAACTATTGCCGTGGCCCTACTGGTGTGTATATATCTGCACTGTTGGTATGTACTCATCCACATACTGGCTCTACTAGTGTGTGCCCATGCATATACTGGCTGAATATCAGGCGTGATTGAAAATACTTGGTCTCTTAAAGACAGGAGAAAAATGTATCATTATGAGACTAGGCTTTGGAGATAGGTAGATATGTTAGAATCCTAGTACTACCACTTACTAGTTATGTGACTTTGAGCAAGTCGCTTACTGTCTCCAAGTGTCTCCTTCCTCTGGAAAACAAGACTAATCACCATTATTACCATACAGGGTTGAAGTAAGGATTGAACTAAAGAGGTTACATAAGAAATTTAACACGATGTCTAGTGCATGGTAATTCTCAATAAAGGAGAGTAGTATTGTACTGCTGGTATTATTTCCCAAGGCTCTTATGTTCTTGACCAGGCAAGGCTGTTAGTCATTTTAGTAGGCTGAACAAATGGTTGCCTCTAGGATTGAGTGAAAGTGCCATTAGTTCTTTCAACTAAGTATTTGTTGCAGATATTTCTGAGAAGAGTTTCATATCAAGTTGTGTCATTGCTACCTTAGTTTATAAGACCCCAAATGCTTTGGCTAATAATTATAATATTGTATATTTATAGAATAACCATTTTCACTAGATTCTCAAAGTATGAAAACAGGGTGTGTGCTATTATTTTTATTTTATAGTTAGGAAACAAACAAACTCCTGAGCCTCAGGGAGGTTAAGTGTTTTGCCCAAAGGTATACAGCTAATAAACTGTCAGTATTAAGACCGAGGGTCTTGTCCTGGCTGGTTTGGCTCAGCAGTTAGAGTGTCAGCCTGTGGACCAATGATCACGGGTCCGATTCCGGTCAAGGACACGAACCATGGTTGCAGTTTGTCCTCAGCCCTGGTTGGTGTCATGCTTGGAGGCAATCAGTTGATGTGTCCCTCTCACATCAATGTTTCTCTCTTCCTCTCTCTCTCTTTCTCCCTCCCTCCCACTCTATCTGAAGATAAATAGAAAAATATCCTCCAGTGAGGATTAAAAAAAAAAAAGACCCAGGATCTTTCTAGTTTTGAAAATTATATTATTTTAAATAAATGTATATTATTTGCAAATAGTGCTTAGTTTTCAGTTTTTTGATCCATTTTTCCATATAATGATATATTAAGAAAGAGAGAGAGAAACAAGAAAGACAATGTGTCAAGAAAGACGAGTAGTGGGGAGTGACATTCAGTTCTTGTGAACATCTACCCACATGTCAGGCTCAACAGCGTTCAAGGACTTGCTTTACAAATCCAAGCATGTAATAGAAAAGTCACATCATGTATGACATGAAATATTATTAAATATTAAATATACATTAAATAGTCTGCATAGCTATGTATATATAATAATATAAATAAGATAACATTCTATACATAAGAGCTGGGCTTTTCATTAGAGGAGATGACATAACAGCTTTTATGACAGTGGAGAAGCCACTGGTTTTAGAAAAACCTGTATTTGTTCATGAAAAATAAAAAGCTCCTAATGTCTTGCTATTCCAGGCCCTGCTGTGAATGGCCCACTTTCTTTGGTAATCCTTTGACTCCACAGGAGGAATCTACTTTAAGAATGTGCCTATTTGCCATCTAAATATTTAATTTCTTTTCTTGGAATAGGTCATAAATACAAATTTTCATCTGTTTTCTTAAGAAGAGGTGATTCTGACAAACTCCAAACATTGACTATGCAGGTAATTTCAGGTGAGCTCTGTGACATGCGGACAGAACACTGCTCAGGAAATGCCAAAGCTTCACCACTTCAATAGAAACTCAAGATCATGAGATCTGAGCCCATTTAAATTAGCCTTGTATCTGGAGGAAAGGAACTGAGGGCAAATGATATCTAGTTTAATATGTCTTATTATCAGGGGACAGTTACAATCAAAACTACCTCCTTAAATAATGGAAAGTTTGCTCAACTGGCAAGAAGAAATTCCTGTGGGTAGGCAGAGGAGAAAAAGCAATCAGGAATAAGTCTCAGATTTATTTTTAAATGAGACAAGATACCATTATTCCTCAGAATTGCAAGAAGTAATTGTAGAGTGGACACGGCTTTTGCTGGAGCCTTTACTTAGCAGAGTGTCATTGTGTAAAGAGATCTTCTAATAGTCCCAATTAAGTCCCCTCTCCTCTCCCAAGAAATAGAAATGGAATAAGGGGATCCTAATTAGAGCAGCAAGGGGGCTGTTAGCACAGATGCTGTGGTTCCATCTCCTTCTTCAAATTGTGAAGCCGCCTTCTGAATTCACGCTGACAAATCATATTAAAAAGAAAGAGAGGGAGAATAAGACATGGGCAAAGCCCTCTTCTTCATCAGGAAGAAAGATATCCTCAAATCCCTGCAAACCACAGAATTATGAGTGATACTACTACAACCCCTCCTGCGCAGCCAGTGGGCAGACCTCTCTGTACTTTGTGAGAAGTTACATAAGGAAATTTCATGTCTGGGGTGTAAACTGTTTTCAAAACCGAAAGGAAATGGAACAAATCCTGAGCCCCCCACTGCAGCTGCATCTGTAGCCACGTGGAGATTCGCACAGCATTTCACTGGGGACTAAGCTCCTGAGGTTCTCCTTAGCTATTTAAATTAGCAGGGACTCAGCTCCCTGGCTTGAGGACAAATTGGATTGGATGAAGCTAAAGAGCTCTCTTAAAAAAATTAGGTCTTGGCCGGTTTGGCTCAGTGGTTAGAACGTCGGCCCGCAGACTGAGGCGTTGTGCAGGAGGCAATCAATTGATGTGTCTCTCACACTGATCTCTCTCTCTCTCTCTCTCTCTCTCTCTCTCTCTTCCCCTCCCCCTCCCCCCTCCCTTCCTCCCTCCCTCTCCTTTTTTCCTTCTCCCTCCCACTCTATCTAAAAAGCAATGGGAAAATGTCCTCTGGTGAAGACTTTTTTAAAAATTAGATTTTTTGTTCTCAGCATTAGCAGTAAAATTATTAATCTGTGGCTAATAATAAGCATTACCTAAATAGTCATTGAATACTAGCTAAAGGTGGGGAAAATTGATGGAAATTTGGGGTGGTCAGTGACAATTTTGTTTGGTTAATGAAATAAAAATCACAGGGTTGCTTCCAATGGCAAATTAATTTTTGAAGGGAGAAAATGGCAGGTCCCCTGGCGTCCCCTCTTATCCACTACATGGGCCTGGCATTTATACACCGGGAATGTTTTAACCCGGCTCTGTAGGGCTTTTTGGTTGTCTTAGGGAATCTCAATCTTTTCTCTTTTCAAGTCATAATTTTGAGCATTGCATCCTTGTCTGAGAAAAAGTCAATACTTCCTCTGTCAACATAGATAACTGAAGGGAATCACAAACGTAAAGTTCTAGCTAACCGCAGGACTGTCGCGCATTGTATTTATGAGCCTGTGATTTTCATTCACCGGAGAAACCTGCCTCAGCCATCCTTTCCCTTTAATAGCTCTCACTAAAAATCCTCTGGCTTTATTACCAGGCATATAATATTAATGTTTACAGCAGGCCAAGGGATGGTGGCCTTTTTTAAAGCGAAGAGTCCTTTTGAGGCTTAGCTTCTTAGAGGGAGAAAGAAGTAGATTCTTTCTTGTTATTTATAGTCCTTTAATCTAAATGCAATTTTTCCTCCTCCCATTATAAGTTGCTTTTTCCGAGAGAGAAATGGAAAAGAAATAATGTCTCCCTCGAGTGCTGTTTTTAAGGCCTCTCTTTGTAATGATGGATTATAGGCAGCAGTGAGACTGTAAGGAAAAAAATGTGCCAGCATGGTTCTCTGGAGAAGCAGTAACACGGGTTTAAAAAATAAAGTAGTTCAAAGAGAGCAGTGGCTGTCGTCACACTCAGCAGAGCCGCTGGCTGTCGACTCTGGCTTTATGTTCCGGAATGTCTCTCCAGTTGTTCACGTATTACAAAGGAAGTATTGTTGCACATGTACACACAGAGATACGGATAAGCTTACAACCTCAAAAAGCCAAGAGCAGAATAAGGAGAGATTACCAAGACCCTGGCTCTGCACAGTGCCTGGCACGTAGTGGGGCACCGCAAACAGCAATGGAATAAACGAGTCTCAGTGCTGTAGAAAAAGATGTCGTACAGAATGCAATACCAAGCTTCCATCTGTCCCGAATATTTTCATCCTTGCTCTGAGAAGCATGGTGGGATATACTGCCTGTCTTGGCACTAATTTATTTCACATTTTATTCACTCGACTAGTATCTTCACACCGGTGGTGATGATTCTTGTCTTACTTACCTTTGGATCCTTGTCCCTAGTATAATATCTGGCATCTAGTTCACGGACAATAAAAGCTTATTAAACCACACAAATGCGAACGGGAAACGTGTGTGGAGTAAAAGGAGCAGATGAACAAGAAATGAATCTTGGGAGTTGGGAAAGGTGAAACAAGCAGACAAAGAATGATCAAAGGGAACATAACTTTACTTCATTAAAGAACATGTAGCACTTTATAGGATTGCTAAGGATATGAAAAAATAGTGAAAAACACTGACCATTTGAAAAACAGATTTTGAGAAATGCAAAAGCAACTCTGAAATGTATCCCTAGACACAATGCTTAATGAATTGACCACGTAGGAGACCAAGTCTGGGACAGAGGCAGTAGACTAGGATCTAAATCATTGGATGCAAATAGAAACCAACTTGGCTGACTTGGCAGAAAGGAATTTTATTGGGAACCAATAGGGAACCCATAGAAACAGCAGGAAGGTTAGGCGATCTGAGCTTTGAAAAGAAAAAGGAATTAAGAGAGGCCAAGCAGCAAAACATAATCCAAAGTCACACCACGGGGATGGTTTGGTGAGCGTGCCTCTGCTGGTGTCTCCAGCACTGGACACTCCCCCTGAGCTGCCAAAGCTACCTTTAGACCACCTGGCAGCTTTGCATCTCTGCCAGGATCGCAAGTCCCAAGGGGGAGCAGCAGACTGAGTATGGGCCAGGAAGCTGAGAGCGGGAATATCTGCCCTTCTAGCTTCCTGCACACTTGAGAGTCCCCCTGAGATATCCACGTGCTGGACAGCTAATGAACAAATATTCCAATACCAGTTCTCTGGGATCAGAGCTTCCACTTACTCCTGCTGCAAAGGTCACTTGGGGGGGGGGGTCGGGTCATGTCATCTCTCCCCTCAATGTTCATCAAAAATGCTGAAAATTTTAAAACATGAAGTTCTTCACCTTCAGATATTCAACCCAAGTCAATTGAACACAGACTATATACCAAGCACTATTGCTGACACCACAGTTATGGAGATGCTGGTTGTTTTAGGAGAAGAGAAACCAATTAAATTATAAAAACTCATTAAGTACCTTCCATATGCACAGTTCTTTCTCACACATCATTTTATTTTATTTTATTTCCTAAGACCCTCACTTTTTTCCTGATGAGAAAGTTGAAGCTATGAGAGTTTAAGTCACTGACCCACAGCCAGGTCCTAGGAGAGTCAGGGCGCAAACTCAATTTTGCTCATTGGATGCATTTTTTTTTTTTTTTCTTTTATCCTCACCCGAGGACATTTTCCCATTTTTTTGTTCAGGTAGAGTGGGAGGGAGAAAGAGGAACAGAGAGAGAGAAGAAACATCGATGTGAAAGGAACACATCGAGTGGCTGCCACCCGCACGACCGACCAGGGCCGGGGACAAACTGCAACCGAGGTACGCGCCCCTAGCGGGAACCGAACCCGGGTCTCTCAGGACCGCAGGTCGATGCTCTAACAGCTGAGCCAAACCGGCCAGGGCTGGATGCACTTTCTAGCACCCCAATGGCAATGGCGAACTGGGGAGCTTGCCTCTGCTGGTTCAAGCCATAGATCAAAACCCTTCATGCTCTTTACCATTTAACACTGGAAACTGAAATGAAACATTTCCTCTATAAGGTGAAGCTTATGTGAAACAATGTGAGCCATCCACAAAGTAACATTTTTGTAGTTAATAGGGGTGAGTTTGTAGGGACCATGAATGAAAGAAAATGGAATTTTATTGTGAAAGAGAATTACTTATATCATAGAAAGATAGATAAATAAAGCAGACATGGAACAATAAAAAAAATAAAAAAGAAATAAATAAACAAGAAAGAGAATCACTACATGCCAATAGTGGACGGCCCAGTAACTTGTATTACCCCCAGACAAAACTAATGGCAATGTAAAATTATAATTTGCAACATGTTTATGGCCAGTATAATAAAGATTAAGCAGATTTCCATTTCCTGCAGAAAAGAAGATAAATTACTGGCGCCAGATGTCTAGCAACCAAGCAAGATAACATAAAAATTCAATTTTTACTTGCTTAACTATGATTTTTATGACTCTTAAAATACAGATTTGAGTGCATAAAACAGTAAAGGTTATAGCCATCTGCTTGGTTTCAGAATAGATCAAAATGCAGAGGGTGAGTCTATACACAGGAAGAAATTCATAAGTATGAAAAATTTATAGGCAGAAAAGGGTGATTTATTTTATTCATTCATTGAATGCCTTTATGTGACAGCCATTTATGCCAGGTATGAAAGAACTGATGATAAAACATATGCAGATAAACACTTTCTCCACCTTTGCACAAACTCTCCCTGCCTGAACCATCCTGCCTCCCTTGGCACCCCCCCTCCCCCGTAAAACCTCCCCTCCTCCCACCTTGCCTTTGTCTAGTAAACTCCAACCCTAGTTTAACTGACACCTCCTCAGGAAAACACACTGGACCTCCCAGATTAGGTCA